TGAGAAGAAAAGCATCTCCTTCTACTGTTTCTAAGTTCTTCTGACTGGCCCAAGAATTAAATTGACATGAGACAAATAAAAGGAGAAAATCAACTTTAATTATGTGTGTACAGGGGGCCCGTGATGTGAGACCCAAGGATGAGTTGAGGTTTATATGGCCTCTGAGAGAAGGAGAAGGGGGTGGGGATGGGGGACTTCAACAGGGAGGAAGGTGATTCACATGGGGATGGAAAAGCAGATGTCTGGTAAACAGATGTTTGCTGGCCGGTGCAGGGACCTGGGACACAGGGAGGACTCGGGCTCCAGGCCTGTGCAACTCCCCCTATACACCCAGCCTGTGTGAACTTTAGGATTTTTTTTCCACTTGTGTGAAAAAGTGCCGTTGGAATCTCAATAGAGATTGCATTGAATCTGTAGAAACGCTTTGGGCAGTATGGACATTTTAACTATTAATTCTTCCAATTTATGAACATGGGTAACTTGTTCATTTATTTGTGTCTGCTTCAAATCTGTCCATCAGTGTCTTGTAGTTTTCAAAATCCTTCACCTCCTTAGTTGAATTCTTTGAGTTTTGACAGTTTTATTTTAATATGTCTTGGAGAAAGTCTCTTTGGACTAAATTAATGAGATGATCTATTAGCTTCATGGACTGCAATGTCCAGATCTCTCCCCAGATTTGAGAAGTTCTCAGCCATTATTTCTCTAAGTAAGCGTTCTGCCTCCTTCACTTTCTTTTATTCTGGAACTTCAATAATTCAGAAGTTGGTTTTCCTTTTTTTAATTTATTTTATTTTATGTATTTTGGTTTTTTGGGGGAAGGACTATTAGCTTGCTTGCTTTCTCTTGATGGAGGCACTGGGGATTGGACCCAGGACCTCGTGCATGCTAAGCATGTGCTTCAACACTGAATTATATACCCTCCCCGCAGAAACTGGTTTTTCTGATGGTGTGCCATAGATCATGCAGGCTTTCTTCACGCTCTCTCATTCTTACTTTTCTGCTCAGACTGGGTTATTTCAAAGCTCCTATCTTCTGTCTCACTGGTTCTTTCTTCTGTGTGGGCTCCTCTGTTGTTGATACTTTCTGTTGCATTTTTTTCATTCCATTCATGAATTCTTCATCTCCAGAATTTCTGTTGATTTTTTATGGTTTTCATCTCTTTGTTAAATTTCCATCTTTTTGTTAAATTTTGATTACATCCCTGTTTATTCGATTTCATTCAGTTGCCTTTCTGTATTTTCTCGTAGCACATTGAGTTTCCCTGAAATAGCTGTTTTGATTTCTTTATCAGGTAAATCACAGGTAAATCTCCATGTCTTTGGGTTTGGTTAATAGGAGATTATTGTGATCCTTTGTGATTTCATGTTTCTTTGATTTTCATGTTCTTTGGGGTTTTGCATTGTTGTATTCAAATTTGAAGTAGCAGTCACCTCCTCCAGTGTTTACTAACTGCCTTCAGGGCAGAATTCCTTTCATCAGTCCTGCTATAGATTCTGAGGCTTTCTCTGACCTTGCATGGATACACCTGCTTCTCACTTCTTGCTCCCTCTTATGGCAGAAACCGTAAGCTTGTTGTCTTCTCCAGTCCTACCAAGCAGCAGACGGGTGGCTGGTAGCCTCTGCTGTGCTCTTCTGATGGTGGCACGCAGCCCAGCCACATTTGTGGTTTCTCCTTTGCCCACAGACCCTGGCCTGCTTTCTGCCTGTGCTCCATACCCACCAGAGCTTGCTCTGCTCCCCACCCTCGGGGTGTGCACAGGGAGCCTCCTGTAGAGCATTAGTGGGGGTGTGTTGGATACACAATGTGCTGGGGCTGCCTGTGGGTGGTATTTCAGAGCCAGGCTTCCTGGTGGAGTCTGGGATGCAGTCAGCACGAACCATATCCCTTTAGTGCCCCTGGGCATCTCATATGACACCCTCCCTATCTGCTCCCTCCTCCATCGTGGTCCTCCCTCTTCAGTGCTCTGAATGCTGAGGGAGAAATGAGGCTCTTTGATAGCATCCTACACAGCTCAGAGAACCAGGAGCTCACTCACTGGCTCTCCCTTTCCCTTGTGGGAGAACTCACAGGCCGTCTAGCTTAGCCCTAAGCTGTGCCGCTTTGGCTGTGGGTGATGCCAGCAAAGGCAAGCTGTCCTCTTACCCACTTGAGTGCATCCATGCTTGTATTTTTTTCCCCTCCAGCACAGTGCTGGAACTTCTCTGGAAACCTGAACGTTCACAAAAGCTCTCTCCTCTGGAAGAGACCACCCAAGTCAGCGTTCTGCAGATGCTCCCAGACAGTGGCCAAGAAGGGCAAGAACCAGCTCTTACTGTCCTGGTGGTTCCACAGCTGGTGCCTCAGTCTGTCTGCCTATTACCCGATGCACCAGTGGGTGAGACGGCCCCCAGGTCCCTTGGCATATGGTGCTTGGTCCCACAAATCCCACAGAGGCACTTCTGCTCATGGATGGATGCCAAATTCTTGTTGTTGAATGCGAAAACAAGCCAGACTAAAAGTACCATTATGTCTAAGAAGACCCAACAACAAAAATGTTTAATCTTTTCAAGTATTTAGAGAGTATTTAAATTTTACACATTGTGATAACCTTATATATCCTTAAAGTATCTTTTGGTCTACAAGTTCCCTTTTCCATATCTTTTGCTTGCGTCTACTATAATGGGTGATGCACAAATGATGCACGATATATGGCAACTACATAAAACTGACTGTAGAAAAGAATCAAGACCGTTAATGAAAGAGTAATCCAAAAAACTAATGCCTTTAATTCCGACTCCAAAATGTGCTGTATAAACTGTCACAGTGAACTCACTGATGGGCGGACAGTAGTAGTTCAGACCCCAAGCGTACCCCATGATAATACCGAGAGAACACAGCTGGCGCAGCTGTACTAATGTCAAACAAAGGAGACCCATCCAACCAGAAGTAGCAGCCCAGTTAAAGAAGAGTATTTATAGCCGTAAGAGAGTCCATTCTACGGGGAAGATGACAATCTTAAACTTGTGTGCATCTAATACAACAGCATCAAATTACGTCATAAAAATCGGCGAAGCTAAAAGCCCAGAGAAACCCACATCTGTCTCAGAACCTACAGAACAGCCAGATAAAAATACTGAGAAGATTTAAACAACACAAGAATAAATCTGACAGAGGTAGAGTTTTGCACCCAGCAAACGCAGAACACACATTATTTTCAAGTAAACATGAAATAATCAGAAAACAAACTATATACCGATTAATGTTTCAACAAATGGCAACGAACTGAAATCATATTATTTCTCTGTCCACATGTAATTAAGCTAGAAATCAATAATTAAAAAGCTAGAAAGACCTCCAAGTGTTTGAAAATTAAGCAGCCGTATACGTACAGGTGTGTGTATGCACGAGACACACAGACACATGCATACGTATATACACGTGCGTATTATATATATATCTATATCTCATGGAATTTTTCTTTTTTGTTTCACTCAACTTTCTATGGTGTCTTCTCAAATATTCTTGCTCATGTACATAGCCCGAGTTGCCTGTCATTTTCTTCACGCAAAGCATGAGACTGCAGAGAAGCCAAAATTATGTAGATTCTAGTAAAAAAACAAAAAAAAAAAGAGGACTGAGTGCATGCCCCCCAGAGGTTTGGCCCCTTCCAATCAGCCTCCTTCCAGTCTCCTCAGCGTCTCAGGCTCGTTCCTCACAAACGCTTCCTGAAGGACCAGGGGCGCACGTTGGGGGGTTTTGCCGGCGCCTGCCAAAAGGAGGATTACTGAAGGGGTGCAAGACAGACTCCTCTGCTTTAATTTGCTGGGTCTCCCGAAGGAACGAAGCAGGCATGGGAGAGGACTAATACTGATTTTTTCACTGGGTCCTCAAAGGGGAGGTGCCTGCAGTAAGTTCCCCTTAACAGTGGAAGACGTCGCGGCTCCGGGAGATGGAGGCCAGGTCCCGCGGCTCCGCCGGCCTTGGCAAGAGCGCTGCGGCGGCGGGTAGTTGTCTTCAGAGGACAACCAGGAGCGGTCTGTGTTCATGTCAGGCCATACACACACACACACGTTCCTAACAGTCTTGCAGCCTTGTGGGGAGCTGAGTAACATAAAGCGGGCGATTTGCATTCTAGACTTGCCGTCACGTCCCCCATCTGTGTAGCCATGCAGAAGGAACGTAACTTAAGTTTAGAGCTACATCAGTCCATTGCGGATGTGGTGGTAAAAATATGGACTGGGAGCCTCAGCTCCTGCTCTCCTTTTAAAACAGGCCGTTAACACCCTTTCTCTTCCATTGAATTCTTAACCAGGAGCGCTTTTCATTAATTCAAACGGGGTGAGGTC